CGAGCAGCAGCAGCGGCTCGTCCGGGAGCAAAGCTACCGGGACTTCACCACCACCATCCAGGTGTTCATCCTCATAGGTTCGCTGCTCGGTGAGTCTGTGCATAGTCTAAACACAGCAGGATCAAAACACGACAAAACCCACATGTGATTCAATATTTCCATGAATCTTTGCTCAGTTTTTTTGGGGAACTTGTTGAAAACATTTGGTCTAAAAACAACAACAACAACAACAACAACAACAACAACAACAAGTCCTCCAGAAGTATAGATATCATCCGTATCTGGGTGAACAGGAAGCAGCAGGATGGTGTTTGTGTGATATTCTTAGCAAAATGTGAAAAGATCAGTGTTTTAATAAGCATTGAACTGAATAATTTAGATTATCTTTCTTAATAGACACATGCATGTAGGTCTGTTTGTCAAGCTCATAAATATTTTATGGTAAAATGACTCAGTAGGGATTAAAACAACAACAACAAACACGTCTTCCAAAAGTATGAACCTCTGGGTCAAGCAGCAGATTTGTGATGGTTATTGCAAAATGTGAAAATATCAGAGTCTTGATAATAATGGAATTTGTACAAATTTGAAGGTCAGATTTTGTCAGTAGTTTAAGGTAGAAGGAATCAGAAGGTTATTAGGGAACTAATAACCAACAAACAACCATCAGTGCCTGAATGAGGTGAACATAGGAAGCAGCAGGATGACGTCTGTGATGGTTCATGCAAAATGTAGAAAGTTGGTCATTTTTCTGTTAAAGTCAGGATGTGTCTTCCATCTTTATTTACAGTGTCATCGTGACACTGGAGTTAATATCTGAGACTTTACCCGACACGGGGAGGGTGTGTATTTATCACAGCGCTGCTGGACGGGGTCTTTCTTTCTCACCTCTGTGTGCCCACTGCAGGTGGTAAACACTCCCTTAGATAATGGTTTCCATGGTTTAGGAGGTAACGGGTCAGAGTCAGCATGCACTGCACGCCCTTTTGTTATTTTTGAATTTATAGAGAGGTGAAGACATGCTCCAGTTCTTTGGTAATGTTATCACCTCGCTGTTTGTGTGGATGCACTCATGAGGTTAATAGGGAAGTGAGGTTGTGCTGCACCATTCAAGAAGGAAACGTACATACACTATATACTGCACATGTAGGAAACAGTTAAAAACTCTATGAGCTCCTTATCCCTCTAAAGTTAAGCTAGGTTTCTAAAGCACATTTCCCAGCCAGGGCATTATTGGTGCTAAACCCTAGCGAGTGATTCTTTCTCTCTACCTCGGTCATTAGTTGACCTGAATCGAGAACTATATGACTTAGTTAACTGGAAGCCAACTCCAAGTGCATTTAATCCTGGTCAGAATTGTGTTCTGTTTGAAGCTAAGCTCGATAAACAGAATCAGCAGAATCTGTAGCGAGGGACAAGATTTTGGAGCTGGAAGTTCCAAAATATTGGCCCCAGATGCTAATTCATCATGAGGCGATAGCTGATGGGCTCCGAGATTAGGTGGTGAATAATTTGTATATATGACATCACAAGAAGGAGCCTAGAAAACATGCGGAAAGCAATCATGGACATTTGTAAAAACACATAATGCGTATTTAGAGTCTTCTTACAAATATGAATTATTCGGTGTGATGGAATCAGGAGTAGCTGGTACAGAAAGTGCTGCTTAGCTAGTTTCACTTATTTAACAAACACCTCGAGAGTCTGAGGGGCATTTTCTTGCTGATGCCAGAGGAAGCAGCGTAGTACCACCTCCTGCTGTGCAGTGAGATGTTCCACGGTCAGGGAAGCGGAGCTCAAACAGCACATTACTATTTTTAAAGGCTGCTATGCTGGAGCCAGAGGTCTTTCACTTTACATAACCGAACCACTGGGAAAAAACAAGTGAAATCCAGAAAATGGGGTGTAGATAAGTCCTGTGAGGAACACAGTCACAATCCTTCATCACTGAGGGAAAAGCTGAGCTTTGCTAATAAGATAAGTGTCTCAGGAGAGAACTTGAACTTTACATCTCCAGTGATACAGACTGTTCGGGTTGTCGAATGGAAAAATATTGTCAGTGAATCATTATACAATCATTTCACACACAAAAATTACGATTTGAGTTATTTATGAGATATCAGAAAGGTTTTTGTTCTGTGTTTTGTTGTCTTGATTACTTTCCGTCTGTGCGAGTGGCTGAATAATGTCCCAAAAATGTGAAAACGATGCATGGACATAAAAAAACTAGTGACCGGTTCTAAATAAATTCTTTGTGTTTCCCCTTTTTTCCTTCGCTCCCCGTCCATGACGCAGAGAGATAAACAGAAACGTCCCTCGTGTCATTCACACATTCACATTAAAGGTCTCACTCTGGCAACAACCAGTGTCTGTGAATGGCAGGATTATGAGTCCAACCGATAAAAACATCACGATGTTACACAGTTTTCCAGGATTAAATAACCAATCAAAACAAAAGAAATAGAGTGGGTAAACTACAGAGCTTTAGAGGTGCTGATGAGGGGAACTGTTCTCCTGCCTCTTTGCTTAGCTACCGTCCCCTCTATACTTATTGCACACTCTCATCCAATTCTCCTGCAAAAACCAAATACATGTATTTCTGAAAATACCGAAGTTTATAAAATTCCCAGTATTAAGAAGAGGGTATTATCCATTATTTTTGATAAAGCACAGATCAGAGTTTGACTGTAAATCGGATTAATGTACCACACTGTGCAGGGCACACGCTAATTTCGCCAACAACTGTAATCGGGTCTGTGAGGAATTATGTGAACTACGTGGTGCTCCTCTGCAGGGTTACCATTCATAAAGCAGGATAGCATCTATAAAAGTAACAATGAAGCCGCTAAGCGTGTTCAGGATGTTTCACACTTTAGATTCTAACAGCTCGTGTGTTTCGACACCATGAGGGAGTCTCTCTGCAGCTTATTAGCAGAGAGACGTCACAGCTTGCTCTCATTTGCATGAAGCAGACAAGCTTTTAAAAAATTACAAGTATTGTGGGTTTTTTTCATGCTGCTACAAACATTTGTTAAGTGGGAAAAGCAATCGTGTTTAGTGTTTGCTCTTTCTCCCCATTGGCTCCCGTGTGTGGTTGCCAAGGTGTTCCTCAAGTGCCAGGTGAGTATTTCAGGCACAAAAGGACAAAGTGATTTTTATAGACAATACAAGCTCTGACTATAAAAAAAGTCCTGGTCTCGATGTCTGCATGGAGACACTTACGAGGACACGTGTATTATTTATCAGTCACAGCTATGACTTGCACAAACAGACAAAGATAATACCTTCAAAAACCACTTGTGTTCTTGTTTATGTAGACGTGACACATTTATCATAATTGCACGTTGGATAATCAACAATCATGCTCATTTATGATGCGATGCATTTGTAAAGACTCTAACAAAGTCCCTTTTCATCCTGGGTCTTTGTTTAGGTGTAAAATATGTAATACAACATGTTTTTCTAATTCTAAATATGGTGTAGAAACTGTGATTCCCACTTACGTCACTTGTATTTCCACTGCTGGGAAAGTGTGACATTGCAGCATTGCACCTTCACTTGTTGTCGGACTCACACAGCTCCTGTCAAAATCTGTACTTTAAAAAACGAAATGAAAATAATGTCATTAAATCCTGAATGACTGAATGCCTCTTATGATATTGTGAAGATAAAAATAACGTGTTGTATTTTCATTACAAATCATCCCCTGTGATTTTTATGTATTTGTTTTATTTAATCCTTCTCTCCCTCCTTTTTATTTTCTTGCTGTATCTTCTCCCTCTCCTTCCCTCTGTCCCTTCAACCATAAGACTGTGGGGATGTTCTTTCAAATTAAAAATGGGTTTTAGTTGAGTCTAACAACAGGCCTGCAGTTAAATTCAAGGTGCCCAATGAAGAGTTTAGCATCAATAGCGTATCAATAAAGAAAACACTTTTAATCTTATGTCAGAGAAAGATATGTACATCATAAAAAACTCTTGAATCTCATCCCTCTCCTCAGGAAACGCCACGGTGTTGTGGTGCACCTGCTGCACGAGCGTCTTCAAATCCGTGACCAATCGCTTCATCAAGAACCTGGCATGCTCAGGTATCTGTGCCGGCCTGGTGTGCATTCCCTTTGACGTGGCACTCGGAGCCAGCCCCCGCTGCTGCTGGTGGCTTCACACGCTGCTGCTCTGCAAGGCCGTCAAGTTCCTCCAGAAACTCTTCTGCTCCGCCACCGTGCTCAGCTTCAGCGCCATCGCACTCGACAGGTCAGTTCAGGAAACACGCTTTACAGAGACAATACTTTTTAAATGATCAATAATTGTGGTTTTCACTTGAAACAGTGGGAAAACAAGAGCTCACTGTCCCTGAGTAGGATGAGTGATGGTTTTATTTCAGCTCAGAACTGCTGTCTTTGAATAAAAGGTTTGTGGGCACATCCCACTCACTTCACTGGATTTAGAAATATCACTTGAGAGAAGTGGATGGTTTAAAACGATCATCTGATCAGTTCGTTAATATATCGCCGATCTCAGTCAGCGGAAGTTATTCTGTTTCCAAAAGATGTACGCTTGGAGTGGAGCAACATCAGGACAGGAAATAAACCATAGACTGTGAAGAAAGATGAGAGACATGCTTCTGGAAAGCATCTTGATCGCCCCCTGCAGGCTTGTCTGCTTATAGCTCCTAAATTCGGCCTCCTTCTTGTCAGGGGGTGGGACCTGGACTTCGAAGTCTTAAATGTCCTCCTTTAAAGCGCCTGTGTCACCTTCATGCTGAAATAAACGTTCTTCTGTCTGTAGATATTACTCTGTGCTGTACCCGTTGGAGAGGAAGATCTCAGATGCAAGGTCCAGAGATCTGGTCATCTACATCTGGGTCCATGCGGTGGTGGCGAGCCTCCCTGTGTTTGCAGTGACCAACGTGACAGATGTGTACGTCACCTCATCCTGCTCAGATGACCACGCCCGCTCGCTGGGTCACATGGTGTACGTGTTGATCTACAACGTCACCACGGTGATCCTCCCTCTCGCCCTGGTTTTCCTCTTCATGCTGCTGATCCGCAGAGCGCTCAGTGCCAGCCAGAAGAAGAAGGTGATCATCGCGGCACTGCGGACTCCACAGAACAGCATCTCCATCCCGTACGTGTCCCAGCGAGAGGCTGAGCTACACGCCACTCTGCTGGCTGTGGTGCTAGCCTTCTTCGCCTGCAGCGCCCCCTATGGGGCCCTGGTGGTTTATCGCACCATTTTGGCAGACACCAAGGAGCTGCCCATCTCACTGTATCTAACGGCCCTCTGGCTCCCCAAGGTGTCTCTGCTCACCAACCCTCTCTTGTTCCTGACTGTTAACCGCTCAGCTCGTCACAGCTGGATGGAACTGCTGGCCAGGATTCACAGACGTTACAGCCGTCGTAACGTGGTCGGCTCCGGGGGTCTGGCCTCTTTATCAGCAGAGGGCGTGATCGGGGAGCCAGTGGGACTTGAGACAGCCGGCCGCTCTGGGAGCCAACTTCTGGAGATGTTCAACATTGGCCAGCAGCAGATCTTCAGACCCTCTGAGGAAGAGGAGGATGCGGGGTATGAGATTCCTTCTCAAGGATCAGGAAACTGCTCTGGGCCACAAGAGGACCTCAAGAGCCAGTTGAGACTAGGGAGCCTCAGAGGGGAGGTGATCACCAAAAAGGACCCTCTGCAGGGCACAGGGGGTGGACTGGTCATCACCAAAGAGGGCTCTCCTGCAATCATAGCACCACGGAGCTCTCCGGTCCACACGTGTGCTTACACCTCTTCATCGCAGGTGGCGCCAGCGACGCCGACAGACGCTGAGGACTCTTCACAGTTTGGTTTTGGACCATTTGAGCTCCCTCCTCAGTGGTTACCTGAGACCAGGAACAGTAAGAAGAGGCTGCTGCCTCCGCTGGGTAACACACCCGAGGAGCTGATCCAGACCAAACTACCCAGACCTCGGCCTGAGCGGAGAATCAGCAGAAACAATAAGGTCAGCACCATCTCCACTGTGGACCAGTGAATCCCTGCTGACCTCCGACCTGCGACACCTCACGGGTCAATCAGGTCTCGACAGGACGTCTCTCTTTGGAGCTGCTCGGTGAGATGCTCAGTTTCATTCGGGTGATTTCAACCTTTTGACTTGTTTCGATTTTATTCTCAGATGCAGTCGTCATTGTAGAAGTCTCCACTTCACTGCACAAAATCTAGACGCCCGAGGCCCTGCAGTTTTCTTCTTGGAACAAAAATCAATTTGACATTAAACATTTACAACACAGTCCGACTTCCCTAGCACCCGGGCAGAGTCAGCTCCGTAGTTAAGGACCTCTACAATGAAGGCGTGATTGAGAGCAGATACTGTTTTCAATCCCCCTCTTTTGATTAGAGCTGGCATCAGTGGTTCAATGAAGACAGTGTAGAATCCAATTATGCTGAGAGATGCACTGATACTGGATAATATAATGTGACAATAATTGAGGATATTGACTCTCCTAGCACAACATTTTGTAAAATGGGTACACGCTGTGATTGCACTCTGTAAAAACAAAAAGATTATCTTCAGTATTTGGGATTAATTTTTATTCTGAATTGTCACTTTTGGAATATTTGCATTTCTTCTAATGTGGTAGATGTCATTGTCGTCATTTGTATTTTAAATGTAAGTGGATTTGATAAAACAATGCAGATGTACAGTATGCAAATACACGTTATAAAATATGTTTAGAGCTTCTTTAAACAAAGAACGTGGATCTTTTAGACCCAATTGATCGATTTTAAATGATTCCTTGCTGGTTTCCTGAAAATCAATTGCTCAGTCACTTTGTAAAATAAAGAAAATGACGGCAGAAAGACATTTTATATCCTTGGACACTCAATGAGATGATGTTCAGTTTCATTTTTGTTTATCTTTTTCACTCTGACACTGTCCGCTCTGTTTTCTTTGTGATGCATAATTCAATAGCAGCAGCCTCAACCTGACGGCTTTGGCTGAGGTAAACAGAGCTGGGCTGCACTTCAAATATTTGTCAAGCTGTAACTCCCTTTGGGGCTACCCACAATCCCCTGCAATGTCCACAAAGAAGCTGAATCTATGCCGTATCCCTCTCATGCTTTTATCAGGAAATTGAGCAGTCACGCCTGACTGGAAACAGCATCCACTTCTACAACTTGATGAGTTTGTTTTTCTACGTCTGTTCTAAATAACGACTGTAGTATTGACTTTATTTGACAGGTACACAGTGGTTGCTTTGGTAAATCTGCATCACAGACGAAACACCGAGCCTAAGTGATGTAGGAAATTTAAAGTGTCACATGAAACAGGAAGATGATTGATTTTCCTGGTGTGAGTGTTTAAGAAAAAACTGGCCATTGCCCAGATTTCTCACCTGGCTTCATTCAAGGCTGATTCAAATAAAAATCTTTTTGAGAAGATCCATCCGTCCATCCATTACCTACACGGGGAGAAAATGCCGACTCCACACAAAGACTCCCAGTTCCAGGCTTCTCATACATTTAGTTCCTGTTGCAAAGCTTTTTCAGCTTCAGTATCTTTTTCTAAGCTCAAGAATAAAAATCTTTTTTAAACCAGAAATGCGTGAGAGGTTCAAATGTTTGGGAAAATTGTAACTTTGAACATCCATCTGGCCCAACCTCATCTGCTGATATCGGTTTTTAAGACTCTATTATTATTATCATCATTTTTTTAAGTCAAATCTAGTTAAATGTCAACACCTTGTTACAGCCCCATTGTATTGACACACAAAGACTCAGAGTTACTGTGTGTAGGTCTGATATTTTTCCTTTTCAGAGAAAGCAATAGCTTCACCATAGTTTCAACGGTGGTGTGTTTACGAATGATGGGGCAGTGGACGTCTAGACATGTTAATGAGAGATCAGAGGCTTACCGCTTACACTAAACGAAACTTGGTGAAACCCAACGTCTAACACGTTGAGAACAAAACCCCAATTTCACATTTCTCTTTTAAACCATCTTTCGTCAGCCTGAAACTGACTCGAGCAGAAGAAATCACATTTGCACCATATTAACAAATGTTAACAAATTAAAGCTGCTAAAATCCCGACTACAAACATAGAGTTTAATCTTCTTTTCAGTCCGTGTAAGAAGAAGCACATGAGGAGCTTTGTGAGGAACAAAAACAGCAGAACAAAGGCTCTTTTTGTTATCAGCTGTGGTTTATTGTTATCCCAGCAGGAATTGTCGTCACTGGTGTCGTCATTGTTGCCCCTCACTCCGCCTCCGGTCTTTATAGTTACGGAAAAAAAGTCCACAACGCAAAGTGGTATTTTAATGATGTGGTGCAAAATCATGGGACTCGATCAGTAACAAAAAAGAAAGAAAGAAAGAAAGAAAGTCACCTCACTGCAAACAAATAGGGAAAGATGGAAAATCCCTGGGACACGTGCAATTGTACCACGATTTGAAGAAAACAGTGGCCTTGAATATATTTTATATGAGAATGATTTCATATTCACACATCCCCTTGTTTGCAGGCTGGGTCAGACTAACGTCTGTGTATCAGACACACAAGACATCGCTCTCACTGGTTTTTACATATATTCTTTGCAAATCAGACACAGACTCTGGAAAATGTCCAGAAAACAGTTTCCCTTTCACATATGAAGGACGCAGAAGGAGATGGTCCAGGTCGGATGTGTTTGCAACAGCAGGAAAATGTCTGGAACGTTCAGGCGAGGGACGAGGTCAGCGTGTAGGAGGAAGGACATGATGGATATTACATTTTTGAGGAATGGTTGAAGACTGGTCAGGTGTGTCATAGATGAAAACTGCATTGTGCATAATCAATGACATGAAATGTTGCTCTCAGCTGCGGCTGTTCGAAGGCTGTGAACTAACAGAGACTCACTGAGAACAACATTATTATGTGACCGGCTCATTCATCTGACAGTTCACCGTGCTCCCTCTTATCGTGCAGCAGTCGGAGCTTATTTTCATTAGACAAAATCAATCACCAAGCGGTTGACGGACCCATTATGGACGAATGGACACATGCATTCAAAACAAATCCACTCACTGGACTTACAAATACATGCAGCATGAGGGAATTATTAGAGACTTTAATTGCTTTGGTAGTCATTAGCCTTCTTGTAATAACTGGATGAACAGAGTGATGTGATTAGCGTGGTTGCTAGGCAGCAGGTAACCCAGATGCTGTGCAGCAGCCTCCATCGTCCAGCGTCTCTCTGTTTCCCTCGCTGCTGACTTCAAGCACAGGGTGGAGGGGCAGTGCAGTGTGAGGAAATTGTATGGCGTGATTGTGTTCATGTGAAGAGACGCTGGGAATGGAAGCAAAGTCCTGTCAATTCATTTCAAGCACCCCAGAGGAGAGGGAATTCAAGATCATTCAACCTCTCTCCCCTGTTTAGGCAGTTACTTGAAATAAGTGAATTTATTTTAAAATCAAAAATGATTTCTCACAAATTGACTGATTGTTATTTAACCGTTCAGAGGTTGTCTCATCACGAGTCTCAGCGGTGAAACTTGATGTATCACTCCGCTTTCCTAGCATCAAATAAATAATTTCAATCAAACTTCTTTTTAATGACCTATAAGGTTTACGACATATACCTCAGCCAGCCAACAGGGGGCAATCCAGATGTCTTGGCTCCACTTTTGCGCAGTGGTCGAATTTTTATATGCAATCTGTCGGCTATATTGAATTCGTATATTAAAATCTTGACAGTGACCATGCTAACGGGCTAGTGTTTGATACGTGAGATAGTAACCATGTACACCATCTCAGTTTAGCAGGTTAGCATGCTAACAATTGATGAGGCCAGCAGCAGTCGGGGGAAAGAGTGGATGTGAAGTGACACATCTGTCTGACCTCTGAACTCCGGGTGTTACGCTGCACTTTGGATCCCAATTACAGTCTCGATACTGGATCTGCAAATCACAAGAGAACAAAGCCCACTTACACAGTAATGTGTGACATTACAGATTGAGTGTGTGTGTGTGTGTGTGTGTGTGTGCGCGCGCTCTAACAGTGAGGGTGTGAATATATGTGTGTGTGTGTAGCAGGTGTGATCATTAACAGTGTCAGGTCGCCTTGACTCTGGAGCTCGACCACATCTGTGAAAGTGTGACATTCATACAACGGTGTTATTTTTGTCGTCCACACAGAACTTTGTTGTTGAGCTTGAATAAAACTCTCAAACCTGAGACATGAATGAAATAATTTAATTTTCAGACTTTGGCCTATTCTCGTTGTGTCAGAGCTGAGCTGGGACTCCAGTTACTGACCCTCATCCACCTCGGCCTCTCATAATAGAATAAGTATAACGATGACACGAGAGAAAGACCTGGTGAAAGGTGACTTGCAGATGTCCAGACCTCTGCTGAGGAGGAAGCGCAGGGCAGGAACCTGACCTCTGCCTGTCAGAGGGGTTTAGGCAACAGAGCGTCATCGCTCTGGGAGGCCGATGTTTGCCCCGGGCGCCTCCTGCTCTCCGGGACTCGTGCAAGGTTCGTGTCGGGTGGCAATTCAAGAAATGGCCATGTTGAAATACCTCCTGAGGTCCACGGGAGGTCTGGAGGCCTCACAGCAAGACAAGCTGCCAGCTTCAGGTAATGAATTCATGAGGAGAAGAATCAATGATCATTAGTGTCAGCAGACTGAGGTCAGGCTGTCTCTCCTGGAGACTTCACCTGTCAATCAAACGCTGTATTTTTATTTTTATATCATGATACTCAACATGTTAATTTTCATTTTCCACTACCCACGATGAAACCACGCCGAAATTTCCAAATTTTTCATTTATGAATGTCAAATAAATGGTGTGCATGTAGAGCCAACATGGACAGAAACGTGTTTTCCAGTCTCTCAGGGAAGATGTTGACAAAAGGGAAGCTGACGCTGTGGACACATGTTGTTTTCACATTAACAAACAAATGCAGGTAGTTTATGAAGGAGGGTTTGTTTGATATACTTCACATTCTGCATCAATCTTCACAGTTACCTGATTTCCTCAATTACCTGATGATCCATCTTCTTCCTGCTTTGCCTGTAGTAGTACAGGAAGGAGCCAGTTCTGTTCACTGTCACACTTTCATCATCACATCTGAATGTGGCTCATAAGATATTTTTACTCTCTCTTTATTCTCCAGCTCCAGACATTTGGTCCCGAACACGTCTGTAATTCTGCTCACAGCCTGGTCCTCGAACACGCCACCGATCCACTGTGAACTTTAACATGACTTTTAACTAGTAGATTACTTCTACTACACCTTCTGAAACACTATACACACAAAATTGCTTAAAAAACATATAGAAAAGTATTATTAGTATTATTATATTTTAAATATTATATCTTTGAATGGGAACTTGTTTTTTATGAGGAAGAAAATCTAGATAAAATGAAATAGCACATTTACTGACTCACTCCTGTTTGTTGATTCGTTATCTAATTGTTGTGTTGTTGTTGTTTTGGCAGGATTTACACGGTCATATGTGTCGTGTGTATTGTATTATTTATATTACATTTAATAAAATGCATCTGCTCGTGTAGTTGTATAGACAAAAACTAAAACTGTTCTGTCTGTTGTGCCAATAGGGGGCAGTAGTGCCACACACAGACATGTCCCACTTTTTCTTTCATCCTCTCATATTCCCACACTGAAAAACTTTAGAATTAACACAGAGACAGAAAGACAAACTTCTTAAATACGTCCTGGGTCAAGGCGACACATGGAGGAACGTAATCTGGGTCAGATTTGATGTTTCTGTGAGTGAGGGACACATCAGGCTGTGATGACGGCTCCCAAAAGTGAAGCCAAAGTGTCTGGATCATCAACTCCATCAACCTATTTCTACTTAAACTGTTTGAATTCACACAAACTGCAGGCGTGACCTTTACCCTGCAGCAGCAGAGCAGCAGCAGCAGCTTCCATCAGGACTCGCTGCTAATTTATGAATGAAGGTTCTGATCAGTCACGTCCAAGTGGGAGCTCATTAGCACAGGATCTGTGGGCGGCTCGTGCTCTGCAATCATCTTCATTTCACACTGATGTCTGCAGCTCCACTGATGGCTTAATAATTTACAGAGAGGAGAGGAACCAGGGAAGGAAACAGGAGAGAAGAGTAGAGGAACCAGGAAAGGAAACAGGAGAGGGGAGGAAGAGGAGAGGAAACAGGGAAGGAAACAGGAGAGGTGAGGAGAATTGAAAGGTTTAAAGAATAAGAGGGAGGACTGATGAGTGTTATCTCTTTGTTGCTGATCCTTCTTCTTGCGTCTCACTTCTCTCCACATGAAACAGAGATGAGACGTCTCCTCTGTCCATCAAACCCCAGACTGACACGTACACTCACACGTACACACACACACGTACACACACACGTACACACACACGTACACACACACGTACACACACTCAGCAGGGGGAGGTCGTTGTGTTTCTAATGGCGTGATGAACTGTCCTTGTGTGTGTGACTGACAGCTCCCTCGCTGTCAGTAAATAACGGATTCATGAAGAATATATGTTTATACNTTTGGTGTGAATG